TAATGAGACTAGGCGAGACATATGGTGAGCCATCAGATTTACTTGCATCATGGAGCGGCGAAGGCGTGAACATTGCGAATTTGCTTGCCCTTTGGTGGTAAACTCGTCAGTACATAAAAAGAAGGTACCTTTCATGAAGCATGAGAATTCTTCCTGGAGATTGATGAAGTTGAGGCAGCCCTTATTGGAGGTTAATGGGAAATACGCATGAAACAAGCTTTCACCTCGCAAGAGACACTGTGGCACGACGCAGTGAGAAACTGAGAAGAGAGCATTCCCTATTGGACTCGTCTCTTCCCCCGCTGTCGATGTTCGTCAGCTTCCTCCTCTGCACATTTGTGCGCCCTATCTCGTCCATCCTTTCTCGGCCCGTGGGGTGAAGAGTCAAGTAGGAGGAAAGACACGAATGTCTCTCTTGAAGCTCGAATTGACTGTGGGACTCACAACAGAAGATCCCGGTACTTCGATACCAAGACGGCTATAAATCATGTTACCATGAAATGGAACGTTGTGATCCTCTTAATGAAACTAAATAGCATTTGAACCTGGATTTCCCCTAATGCTCTGAAAAATTGCCTGCAATTCGGTAATCCCACTTCGTCTCCTTTGTGGAAATTTTTTCTCCTTCGTGAAATATTACTACTTCGTAAAACTCTCAAGACAAGGCTACCCAGACGGGCGACGAAAAAATAAATAAATTATACATTTTCAAAAAGTGAGATTAAATTTTCTCCACTATCACAGGCTGATGTAGCTTATAATCTGCTAGAGCGATTTTGTGATTGGAAAGGAAGAAACATTCCAATTTCGACCCTGTTGATGCTCTCTGAGAGGAATGCAAGGAAGTTGAATTTTCCAACGGGAAGGGGTACAGTAAATATAATAGGTGCAACCAAAGGCTTCTCTCCAACTCCCTTAGCCTCCCCTAACAGTTTCTCTTTAAAAAGACAGAGGTGCGAGAATGAGTCGTTATCTTTTTCGAAAATGATGAGAAGGAAGCACTGTATAGCCACGTCAGTGAATAGTACATGCAGGTTTAGTATGATGATGTAAGCACCAATAGATCACATACATTTTGCAGTATTTCGAGTAGAAAGACGTTTTCGAGCAATGAACGCAATTAAGGAATACTAAAATAAGGCTTATCATCTCAAAGGAAGAAACGAAAGTTCTATGCATTAAATGAAAACCGATTTCGACAATGCATGAAAATTTACTGGGCAATGAATGGTAAGGTTCTGTTTAAGTGAGAGTGGTGGAGACATGGTTTAAGCAAATAATCGAATCTTTTTTTTGCGCAATATAAGGAAACTCTTTCTCATGTTTTATTCAGAATTTATTTAGAACTGTTTTCAGCGCTAGGGAGACCGGAGATATTTTAATACTTCAGAAATAGTGGAAGCTCCTTTCTTGCCATGAATCTATCCTCCATTCGTCTGCTGGATTCCTTTCAAAAACCTTCATGTATGGCTGTATTCGTGCGAGAGCGTGTGTGCTCAACGCGCACTGTAGTGTAGCGCAATAGGAACGGCCTTGAGGAAGGAGGCCTGAGGGGATGAGGAAGAGAATTTATTGTCTGGGATGATACATGCCAGGCCCGCGGAGTGAGATATAAAGTATGCCATCCAATATTGCCAGCAGCCCTCCGTGTTTATGGGCCCGTGGATCTGTAGAGTCGTGAGCGGACTTGGTATTTACTTTTGATACTCAATCCGAGCTTCCCCTTCACGGGCATAGCCCTTTCTAAGATGCAGGCCTTGAGTCTGTTCCTGAAGGAAAAGTCGGATTTTCTCGGGATCAGGCGCGCTTCGTCTGCCAGCACCATTTCGTATCTGCGACGAGTAGCCGTTTCGTGGGTTATTAATATCTAATTTTGAAATATTGCAGCCACATCCAGATGATTCATCGATACTTCACCTTGCTTGATCCTGTCCCCGAGTTTCGGGGAAGGAACCCACGATGTATTACCTAAGAATGTGCCTTTCGGGCTGGATTTTCGAAATCAAAAGTGTGTTGGACACGCCCTTTCCTCCTTTTCGAGAAACAATTTTTGTGCAATTTGTGTTGCAGTTATAAACATTCTTTAAGAAATATGTATGAAACAAAATGAAAAAGATATGTTTTGCGGAAAATCTTGTTGTTAAAAAATGTTGCAAGAAATGTGGTAAAAGGAGACACCTCGATACCTGAGCAAGAAAAATGACTGGGATGGAATTTGAGGCGTGTTCCGATCTTTCATCCTGCCCGTGATCTCCTCTGACCCCGACAATCTGAATTCGTCGACGCAGCAGACATAGTTGGAATTCCCTTAGGTTCCTTGCCGAAAAACGAGAACATTAATCTGCAAGCATATCATTTTTCAGAAAAATGATTCCTTGTCCCCAAAATTTCCGACTCAATGCACGTAAACCTGGATTTCCTCCCAATACGTCAGAGAAGTTTCCTCGAAAATCTCTATAATATAATTTTAGGAAACTTTCATTCTCTTTCCTGAAATATTACCGGTTACAGACCGACATTCTAAATCCGACCTTTAAGCGAACGATAATTTTCTTCATTCGCGTCCGAAAAGCCTCTTCCGAATATTCACAAAAATTCTGAAAATAGTGCTACTGGTCCGGGCGTTTTTGTCTCTTCTAGAGGTGGGAATCAACACAATTGGTCACGGTTAAGCAATACATGATTTATTTTTAAAATGAGAGCAGGAGAATGAATAAAGAATAATCCCAGCGGTGTCTGGGGTGGGGATCGAATAGGGTAACTTGGGGGAATATGGCCATTGGGGTACTATGGCCCTTCACAAGGAATCCCCTTATAGACTGAATAATTAGTTTGGGCGAATTAAAAAAATTGTTCTATCGAAGAGTACATGTAATTGTCGAAATGTGTAGACCTGTTCATCAATCCAGTTCCCACAGGAATTCGGGATACATAGATGTCTTGAAAGTCATAAGCATGCGATTCTTTGACTCATGACCCTAAAACTAATATGAGCCTTGAGCAACATAAGCGTATATTTCCTAATACCAGCATGGATACAGAAACCATTACTTCTAAGTTCTTCTATGGTCTCTCCAGAATGCTTGTGCAAAGTGCTAGCCCCTTCACTTGCGGTTTGTAGGCAGTGTTGTCAATTTTGTAATGCGAGCCAATATGGGGAAATATGGCCATCTCGATTTGGGGTAATATGGACACATCCTTCATTTCATGTTAGCACCGCACAGACCTATTGATACTGTCTGCATCCTTTCGTGTGGGATCTCAGACTGCAAGAGATCATCCAATGCACTTCCTCTGGATATATGGATAGACGTACTGGACATCTGGACGAAATATGCAGTACATGAGGAGGCCGTGCATGAGGGTATGCTTATGCACCTCCTTCTGCATCGCTTGACATTCTCCAGAAATTTTTGTTGCACGAAACTTGAATGCAAGTAAATATCCCTCGTAAAAATAGGACATTCTGTGGTTTTTGGCACTATTTATCCATACATGCAAAAACAACGCAACATTTTTCCTGCAATGTAAGACCTCTTATTTTACACTCGTAGCGCATAGTCACTTTAATCGATGCTTGATCATTCTTCTTACACACACACAGTCTCTAGATATTGTCTCCCAATCACGTGCATTGTTACTCAAAAGCAAAAGCGTTGCAATCCTGTTTTCCACAACGGTTCCTCGAGTCAGGTAATGATGTCGACTTCTTTGTTTGTCCTCGGTGCAGTTAATGTTTCTTTTTCAACTGCTGAACATCCACTTTGCATGCGGACGTTTTGCAAGGGATCTGACACAAAAAGTAAAAAATAAAAATAATAAATCCAGGAATGCATTCCTGGATTTATTATTATTTTTTTTTACGGGTATATGTACCCATCTGCATGACTTGTCTCAGGGTCGACACTGACGACACTGTTAAGACATTTCGCTTAGAGTGCTTCTCCTTGATATTCCTAGATGAGAATATATGACAGCTCTTAGGGCTGACAATATCATGCGATATTTCAGGCGAAATAAACCATCGCGACCAGTCATTTCCAATTTTGCTTTTCCTATTTGTATTATACATATAATGTGGCGTTGCAAGTGATGCAGCTCACAACGCTCCAACTCAAAATCCGACGCGGTCCGTATTCACTTTTACAGTGAATCTCCATTCCCACACGGCAAACTTATATTCAATGATGAGAAGCCAATGTTCTCCGCAACCCCGTAAAATTTGAGATCAAAATTAGCTGGAGCGATTCTACGTTGCGAGCAAGAAGCATGCCCAATTTCGTTCCTGAATATCAGTGGCTCTCAACCTTGCTTTTATTCCCATTGAACCTTCATGAATTCGGGGGGTAATTACCCCCAGTTTGAGAATCACTGCTCTAAATGCTCTCAAAGAGGAGTACGAGGGAGTTGAATTTCGTGACGGAAATGGGTTGAAGAAAGGGAAGAGGACCTATTGTCCGTCAATGTGTACGTAACTTTGACCCTAACGTATTTGCGACCTTTCGCACGAGATCCATGACCGAGCACGTGAAAAAACCTTCAGTCTGAGATCCGTAACGAGCGAAAAACAAGCCACATGAATTGCATGCAGCCGTTCATTTGCTCACTTGAATTATTCCCTCCTCCAGGGCGGAGTAAGCAGACGACGGATAGCAGAGGGACGGACATCCCATGACGTCACTCGGCGTCGAACGGTAGCCCCTTCCATCTATCCATGCAAGCCTTTTCGTCTTGGGGTCAAGGCAATATCGTCGCCTTAGGCACTTCACTAGGGGCAGAGAGAAATCTATCTCGTAAAGGATTTAGAGATTTAACAAGACTTCAGGGTTACCTACTCATCCATCCGAGAGAAAGTAGAACTCTTAAGGACATCAGGACCCGTGACGCAACGTCACGTACAGTATGTTAATGGAACTTGCCGTCTAGAATTGGATCTATCGATACAACCCCAGAGATCCCATTCCCAGCTGCAAAGCGAAGGTGATCAGGACACACTCGAGATGGGTCCGCTGTGGTTATATCGGCTGTACCTGCGAAAGGGGATCCAGACGGCATTGATCAGGTGGTCCGTGTTAGTTTCTAACTTGGTGGGATGGGTCGTCATCCTCTGTGTCTTTCCTGTGCCGTATCTCATGTTTCTTTCGTACCGTTTGGGGGTGTCGTTGTGGTTGAGATGCCGACACCGGGGAGAAGTGAAACTGATGGATGCGTCGGATGCAATATTTGCTCTGCCTTCCGCCGATCGACCTAATTCCAGGGCCATTGTTGTCAGTTGGATCGCCGTCGACGGGTGTGTTGACATTCTCAACTTCAAGGAGAGGATTCGGAAGCGTATTCAGGAGGATACATGGTTTCAAAAATTGACTTTCTCTTTCCAATTCCGTCTCGGTTATTTGGTGTGGAAAAAGGACAAATGTTTTTCCGTCGATCATCACGTGAAGCTGATTGCAGAACCGGAAAAGGCGAGTCTCGAGGATTTGTTAGAAGCGTTGCAATGTCGGGATTTTGAAGTGGATCGGTCTCCGTGGGAAATTCTGGTATTGATGAGTGGGGAGAAGACGACCTTGATTATCAGATGGCATCACTGCCTGGCCGACGGACCGGGCATGATCAATGGATTGTCGAGACTCATCTTGGACGAGAATCCCACTTCTCCAATTCGCAAAATCCCGAAGAGAACGGCAACGAATCTCAAAACTTTCTTCGCATTACTGAAAAGCATGTTCTACCTCCCCACAATCATGCTGTGGTTGTCGCTCATCCCGGAAGGAAACCGTCTTTCGGTGACCCATCCCACCAAGAGAAAGAGAGTTTTCTTTTCGGATCCGATGCCCTCAGAGCCATTGAAGAGGACCGCTAAGAAGTTGGCCTGCACTATCAACGACATCTTCATATCTTGCGTGATCCAGGGATACCAAATGACGCTGTTAAGGCCCACAGACACTTTATCGGTGGCAATTCCCATCTCCCTGCATCGGGATTCCCCTCAGATCTGCAATCGCGTGAGCCCGATCCGAGTCCCGTTGCCGGTGGCCTTCGACGGCGAAGCCCGCATCCGTGAGATCCGCGAGATGACTCGCTGCCTGAAAGCATCGCCTGACATCCTCTGTGGTTATGCCGTGCAGCACATCCTGTCCAACGTGCTTCCCTCGTGGGTGTCGAAATCGTTCCGGTGGGCGAAGGTGGCCGGTTGCGTGAGTAACGTGGCTTCCCTCTTGCCTTCCAATGCCCGGATTCAAGATCATCTAGTCTCCTCCCTTTGTGGGTTCGCACCACCGCTGCTGGACATTGGTAATTCACCTTCATCTCTTTTTACCAATTTCCTCTCGGCTCGATTTTCTTCTCGTCTTCATATCTTCAGGATAGATTATGAGCGAAAGTTCACGGAGGCCAATGAGAAACGAGACCGATGTATCGATCTGTTTCAGGAATTGCCATTTCGTTGGTGAGCACAGGGACCAGTTATCACTTCGCCATCATGGCCGACCAGAGCGCTTTCAAGAAATCGGAAGATGCGAGGATTTTCCTGGGGACCATGGTCAACCACGTCGACGTCCTCGCGTCTGCTGCAGGAATCTCCCGAGAGAAAAGTGATTCTTCGACCCCTTCGTTCAGCTACATCGTTCCTATTATCAAATACAGTATGGAATCCGAGATGATGCAAAAGGAATCCCTGCGAGGTCACTAAGGAGGACGCCCGAGGGCACTTTTTAAGGCGCAGCGATCAAGTCAGTGGATTCTCTTCATATCGTGGCATTGGGCCATATTTTTCAAAGCGCTACTAACTTTAGTAGCGACTAGCGTCTAGTAGCTACGAGCTAGTAGCTACTAAAAAAATGGTATCTTCAAAGACCTACTATCTTCTGACTTGTTAGTAGCTACTAACTTAGTAGCATTTGGGCTAGGAATAGATTTCGCAACACTGCGAGCGAAAATTTCAAGCGTCAGCCTCCACGGCGGAGAACGGTATCTTTTCGGAGTAGATTTTTACCATTGTTCAATGTATGTTAATGATGACGATTGAATAACAGAATAAGAATGACACATTTGAAGGTTTGGATAAAGACGTGAAAAGTTGGGCTGTACCGATGTATCGGCCGCCGGTGTTGGACTATCGGCCACATCGGCCATCGGCAGGTTTGGAACCGGCCGGTGCCGATGTTCAAAGGAGAACGAGCTGAACGAGGAAAAAAAAAAAATACCAAAGAGAACGGGGCTCGGTAACCGATTCTCAACGGTTATAGGAAAAAATTATGGCTATCGCAGTTCGTCCATCGATGTATTGATTTCATTTTCGATAGTTGAGGTATGGTAGGCTTCATCACCGTCGCAAAGGTCACACCTCCCCCTCCAACTCCTCGAATCACAGGCGACAGACTATGGAAGGCGGATATAGGTCCGCGCCCCGATCGAGGCAAGAAATGGCGGAAACGAGGCAGAAACCTGATCCCGATCGCAGTGAGAAAAGACTGAATCTGCCGACACCCCCACCCCCACCCCCACCCCACCCCCACCCCCCGCCGGCATCGATGCACTATCGATGTTTCGGGTCGATACATGGGTGTATTCGAAACACCCAGCGTAGAAGCAATAATAAAATTGAACGTGCATTCATAATACGTCTATTTGACTTTTAAAAAGTTTTGTCGAATGCTTTCTCGCTGTTTCTCTGCACGTCACGATAGGCATCGGCACCAGCACCGGCACCGGCCGATAGGTATGAGAAAATAATCGGCCATCGGCCCACCGGCCAAATGTGGCCACCGGTACAGCCCTACTGTTGTGTCACACTGTAGCAAGGAATGAGTTTCTCGTAAATTTCAGATCAAGGCTATTCCCTGCTATCAAGATATAAATCATTTTTTGCCTTCTCCATACGTCTGACCCCTCTGACGGCTTCATATCGGGGAAATGATATAGGGTTCCCGGAATCTTGCTGCTGCTCCTCTTTTATCCATTAGATTAGCAAATACTTGTTTCAATGTACAAAGTAAAGCTTTTTTTTTACTCTGGTACTTATTTTGTCATGACTAACTTGATTGGGACAGAACAAGCAATAGGTGAAATGGAGTTGTAAATAGAACGAGAAGTGAGGGTCGTCACAGACGTTTCCAAGCCGTTCACTTGGCTTCGCCACTGTACTTTCTCTGCCACAATGTATCAGGCGAGTTTCAGCTCTCGGGAGATGATTGGAAGTTTCAATTACCCGTTCTTGAGAGCAAGGCAAGGGATGTATAGCGGATGCAGACTTTGATGACATCACCAGCAGTTCTGAAACGCGGGAGGAAGGCGCCTAGGACGTGGAGGGACTATTTCAGCCGTTCTCCCAGGAACGTGATCGCAACGGAAAGACCTACCAATCAGGAACGACTCAACGGTCAGGAGAGCCAAGGTACATCGTCGTGCGATTCGTCTGAGTCAGTCCTCATTTGGACGGCGGATGACTCACTGTGCTTTGTTGAAATTGGAACCTCATCTGATCACACTCTGAATTAGGCCTACCTGTTACTCCGAGGAACGCGACAGCAAGCACCTTTTGCTGCAAAACGGGAATTTAATGCTCTTTTTTAGATCTGAAGATGAGCTTCACGAATTTCTAGACGACCCATACTAGCCTGCGATGGATGGCGCGCCTTCTACAGTATATCATTCCATAGATACGACGAATAATAGGGTGTCTCTCTCCCTATTGCGTAAGTTCGACTGGAAGCCTTGGAATCCCTCATGCAAGCCATTTACAACAGCTAAAATCTGGTAGAAAATGCATTAAAATAGGATATCTAGAAAATTTATGTTTTACTAGATTGCACCATAACTTAGTAAAACTGAGCCAAAGATATGCCCTCAGATAGGTTGTTGTTTGTTCATTGTCTACATCGAGATCTATGTAAGTTGCTCGCCCACGTTCCAGATCTAAAACGCGTAGCCAAAATGCCATTCGAAAATCTGGAACTTGAACGCCTCGTAATTCGTTCACGTTGCCGTCCTCAAAAACGCGAAACCAAAACTCTATTATTCGACCATATCCTCAATGGAGATGACATGGGGAAACGATATAGATTTTGACGCTCGTACTCATTCGCTCTGCTCGACGTCATTATTCAAGGGAATCGCTTATGTCAAGTGAACGCTTGACCATTTGTCAGAGTGATTTCCCACCCTTCATCACTCTCAGCTGGGTTTACGAAAAAACTTTCCCAAAACAGTCGGTTCCATCACTTACTTCCATTTCATTTTCATTTCGGGAATGCTCATCTCTTCCTCTTTCGCATGTGACTATTTGCCGCATGAAGGCCCTTACACACTGACTGCAAAGAGCTGCGTTGCAAACCATGCAGCACCATTTGCTGCAATGTGTCGCACTCGAGACACGTGGAATCCTCGCATTTCGTCGCAGTAAGCTTCGCGACTTAATCGTAGGAGTCAAATCAGGTGTTGGATTCGCAGTAGTTCATGCTGTGCATGTGCTAACCGTGCGGTATGGGCAGGGCCGGCCTAAGGCATGTGCCACATGTGCCTCCGCACAGGGTACAAATTCGCCAGGGGCGTCAAAAGTGCCAGAATGAATGAAGCAATTTAGGTGACACCCTCAGATTTACTTAAAAAACTGGAAATGCCTTCCGTTTCGGCGTCTTTTTGAACACAAAGGATTGGCCCTTCTCATTTTGGGGGGGACGGCATTGTAGGGAGTCCCTTTACAGAGGGCACCGAAATAGCTAGGGCCGGTCCTGGGTATGGGGTCGTTACATGATGAGAGACTAATCACATCTGTATAAAAAACGGCTCTTGCTACATGGCACGTGCTGTATAGCAAGAGAAAACATGCCCCAGTTTCCACACAGGATCAGGAGCATACAAGCGTAATGTAGATGGAAAAATTAGGGGGCACGGGAACTCTTGTACACTGTTCTCAGGCATAGCATGCATCTTTTCCTTCTTTTTCCGAGAAGTCCAGGGCAACCTAACCCCTGACGCTTCACCACTGCTGGGGTATCATCCACCCAAAGATAAGTGCTGGCAATTATTTTTTTAATAGAGATTCCACGAGCGAGAAACAAGAGGAAGATGCCATGGAAGACCTTAAACGCCATTCTCATTTCTGATCATTTCTTTTAATTAGGCCCAAATGCTGAAGCCTCCTTTAGGTAACTGTTCTTTAAGAATACATGGACTCATATGGGAGAAAATGAGCTCTTTGGGTGAAAGGCCCCTTTATTTCCCCTAAATAAGGTTTCGGCAATCGAACCTTCCTCACGGTGATAAGCACTCTCCCTTCGAGTGAAAAAGTCTGAATCGTATCTGCATAAAGGAGTTAACTGCTGGTAATGTTGTATGAATGAGTACCAACATTAGCTTGCGATTGCCGCAACAGCTGTAGGATATGCAATCAGGGCTGGCCTTAGGGGTGGGCGACGTGGGCGACCGCCCACGTCAGGAGGACGCCAATATATTTACCGTTCATGAGAATGCTGATCCCGCTATATTAAAACTGTAACTCAGACTTCCTGTTAAAAGAAAGTTGAAACGTAAATTCGTATTCCTGAAACATTCCTTAAGCCCTCGCACTAAAACGCGGAGGCGGGGGAGAGGGGGGCGGCGGCGCCGAAATCAAAGTTCGCCCAAGGCACCATTTCTTCTAGGGCCGGTGTCGTATGATATTTCCCCCCTCCCTCAATGGAAATGCAGGGAGTTCGTTTTCTAATATAGAAATGCATGTTTGAGGATCACCACAAGAGAATATAATATTTACTGACAAAAACTTATGAAACTGATAATACATAGCTCAACACTGATCATAGCTCCTCCTGCAGAGGACATTGCTTCTTCTTCCCATCCTTCATGGCAGTTGTCTTTTTTTGCCTTTAACTCCAGCGGCCTTATTAAGTATTTCACATTGCTTCGAAGATGGTTCAGAGGAAAGAAAATTCGAACAAGTATCAGCTGTTAGGGATGCAAACGGAGGTGGAAAAGGCTCGGAAGAAACACCCGCCCAGGAAGGAAGCGGAGGCGTTGGAGGTGATGGTGGAAGAGACTTGGAGAGTGAGGCGGCTGATGGCATAATTGGGCTGATAACTCGCCTTAGGTTGGATCCGTTCACTTTCTGAGTGAGACCCTTTCCATTGTCATCCCACAGCAAGAATGCACCCTTGGCTAAGACCTCCCGGATGAAGTAAGGTCCCACGAATCTGTCGAAAGAAATGTCGTTACCTCATGTAGATTTTGGTTACATGAATGTTTAACAAGTAAAATGTATCATGTCCTACATCAAACTTTGATTAGGAGTTGCCATTTTTTGATCAATGATAAAATAATTACCTCTCTTCCAATTTTCCTCCCATGCGCGTGTCCTTCTTCGCGTTCCGCTTCAGAACCTTGTCTCCAACATTGTAGGCAGGTCCCGACCTCTTCAGGTTGTAGGCGTCCTTCTGCTTTTCTTGAGCTCTCATCCAGGTTTTGCAGACCTTCTTGTCTCCTATTCTTCAGTCGAAGCTCAATTTCTCCCATCCTCTTCTCAATCTCTTCTCCAGTTTCCTCAGTCCAGATTGGATCGGCAAGGTCTTCTGGGGTGATGGGACTGTCGAGCTCGTAGGGGAAACGCGGTTCCATCCCGAACATGAGCTCGAACGGAGAAAATTTGGAGGAGCATTGCACCTTCCACCTGTACCCTATCATGACGCTCCTGAGGTGTGTCTCCCAATCATCACCTCAGTCAGTCATGTGGGCAGTCAACTTCGCAATTAACGTCTGATTGTATCTCTCAGTGAGCCCTGAGGACAAATGAAATGAATTATATCGACTATCGACCTGGTCGAGATGATTCGAGGAAATCCAGATAGGCCTAACGTTCCACGTCCGGACTGAAATAGTTTATTAAACTCGAAACAGGCCTCTAATCAAACGTTACGCGTCCTCCATGAGATGTGTCGAAGATTACAGGATTGATCCTTATAGGCCTAATTAGTCCTTTAAGTCGAGGATTGAGTTTCTTTTGGAATAAAAAAAGGAAGGCCTTGGCCTGACCTGAAGGCAGTCCGTCGGTTAGGCCTAGGCCTAACGTTTGTGAGTCCTACAGAGAATGGTTTTCATATTACTTCATGTCAATTGGGGTATTTTTAAAATGAGATATTTCACTCAACATTAACTTACTACTTGAAAATGCGCAGTTTCTCATTTGAAAAAACCGAGACCTCTTGCAATTAAAAATTGATGACTCTTGAACAAAGCAATTGAAAGAATATGTGCTCTTTTTCTCGCATATGTAACACAAATTTGTGAATGAGAAATTTCAGCTCTGTAGTCTGCTGAATGCAATGATGGTTGCCGTGAAAATAAAGGTACAAATATACTAATAGCACTAGTGTCATTGCTGATTGGTTGGCTCCAGAAACTCTTGAGACCCAGCGTCCAATTCAGGGGACATGGGAAACCATTTCCCCTCTATGAGATAGGAGATACCTCCAATCTATGACGATATCACTCATTTTTTCCATAAATGAAAAACATTATCTCTAGAAAAATGAATGGGTTTCTGTACTCTCCGTTTGTTCCCCTGTTTCGACTCTCTTTCAAATTAGATTTTTCTCGACAATTACATACAACAAGAGGAGAGCTATTTTATTTTGAGTGTTGTTGACTCTGGTTGGCATGTGCCATGATGCCATGCAGTAATGCCAAATGTTTTCCCATATGTAATGAACATATTTACCTGTTAACAGGAGACAATATATGTTAGTATGACATTCAGCAAAGATATGAGCATGTTATAGACAGGATTCGACACATGCGAGTGCACCGCATATTCATAATTCCTGGACACATTCAAAACTCTTGCATCACCATGTGTTATTAGCGTTAGCATATAGTACAGAAGCCAATGATTCTGAAACAGTACGGACCATTTCCAAGAACTTGTTCGAAGGCACAGAAGGAATTTAGTACATGTGCGGCACATTGCTAGCGAGTAATTCCAGGAAATGCCTTGCCACCACATTACCCTGAGGCTCTGAAAGTGTTGCTTCTGCTGCAACTCACATTTCAGCACCAGTGAGCATGTTTCCGTTGCGAAACGAATGCCTCCTCCCTACATCAAAATGTACAGCCTGACAGTGCTCGCTGCGGAAACGACTGTAGTGATTTGAGATGACGGAGAGGCCTGACAACATGTCCCGAATTGTAAGCTAAGTACGAAGCCTATGGCTCACAATGATATAGCTCAATGGACCTGGCGCTAAAAGCGTTGGATGGCCAAGACTATGGCCTAGAATAGTATAGCCGCAAGGACCTGGCGCTTTGAGAGGTGGATGGCCTAGCCTATGGCATGAAGTGACATAGTCTCGTAGGCCTCGCGCTCTGGGGTGACAATCACTACAACTCTCAGGCTCTTCGAATTAAAGAATTAGATGAAAGTAAAACTTTATGCACGTGATATACGACAAAACAAGCTACGATTTGATGTATATAACACGTGCAATGAAACAAGTGCAACGACGTCTAGTGAGTTTTCGAAGTTGGCACTCCAAAAACCGACAATAATTTTCCACAATCTGATAGCTAGTTATTCCTTCCCCAGGTATTTTGAAGCAGTACGGATAGTTACCGGGAATGTCAATCTTTGCCAATCAAAGAAAGCAAACGCGTTTGTGCTGTTGGACTGTCTGATTGATAGGTTCTTGAAATTGAGAGCCCTTGCATCTTCCTACATCAACAGCGTTTTGAATCCTGGCAGATACTCGAATACCCCTTACCATTATGACAAATACTGTGCCGCAGTTCGCTTTCCTACGCTTCAAAACGAAAAGACGTGGAATGCTCAGAGCATTCCACAATCAGAGCTGAGAGAGTGCGGAACGGCTACCGCAGCGAGAGCATTAGGTGATGGTTCGACCGGTACCCACGCTGCTCTCCGCGTAGTGTTAACAACCTTATGTTGCTCTGCAGTTAACGCAACTCTACGCTGCCTCGATTCAGGCTCACTTATCTGCTTAAACAACCTTACATTGCTCACTGATTTTACTTTGCCTCACTGCTTCCGTTCTGCGGACGCGTCGCATCACTTCGAAAGTACAGTATTTAGCTGCTTGACCCTTTCGAGTATACTCGAGCTCTGGGTGTTACGCCGCCAGTGATTCCTATCGCCTAAGGGGTTGTAAATATGTTTCCTTATCATTAGGTAACATGTCACATCCAAGAATGTAATTGAGCATTATGCAGTAATATTCTAAAGGACTTTAACTGCGCAATATTTAAAACCTAAGGCGTACGATGTACGTACCAGCCAGTGCCGGTGTCGTATGATATTTTTCCCCATGGGGAAAATTTTCATATGATATTTTTCGCCCCCTCCCTCAATGGAAATGCAGGGAGTTCGTTTTCTAAAGTAGAAATGCATGTTTGAGGGTCACCACAAGAGAATATAATATTTACTGACAAAAACTTAAGAAACTGATAATACATAGCTCAACGCACATAGATCAACACTGATCATAGCTCCTCCTGCAGAGGACATTGCTTCTTCAAGGGTAGGAAGTACCGTCAACAGAAAAAAACGGAAAATTGAGGTCCCCGGAATAATTCATAAAGTGTAACGAAGCTTCTACCTTCAGAGGAAAGAAAATTCGAACAAGTATCAGCTGCTAGGGATGGAAACGGAGGTGGAAAAGGCTCGGAAGAAACACCCGCCCAGGAAGGAAGCGGAGGCGTTGGAGGTGATGGTGGAAGAGACTTGGAGAGTGAGGCGGCTGATGGCATAATTGGGCTGATAACTCTCCTTAGGTTGGATCCGTTCACTTTCTGAGTGAGATCCTTTCCATTGTCATCCCGCAGCAAGAATGCACCCTTGGCTAAGACCTCCCGGATGAAGTAAGGTCCCACGAATCTGTCGAAAGAAATGTCATGTAGAGTTTGGTTACATGAATGTTTAGCAAGTAAAATGTATCATGTCCTACATCGCACTTTGATTAGGAGTTGCCCTTTTTCGATCAATGATAAAATAATTACCTCTCTTCCAATTTTCCTCCCATGCGCGTGTCCTTCCTCGCGTTCCGCTTCAGAACCTTGTCTCCAACATTGTATGCAGGTCCCGACCTCTTCAGGTCGTAGGCGTCCTTCTTTTCTTGAGCTTTCTCCAGGTTTTGCAGACCTTCTTGCCTCCTATTCTTTAGTCGAAGCTCAATTTCTCCCATTCTCTTCTCCAGTCTCCTCAGTCCGGATTGGATCGGCAAGGTCTTCTGAGGTGATGGGATTGTCGAGCTCGTAGGGGAAACGCGGTTCCACCCCTAACATGAGCTCGAACGGAGAAAATTTGGAGGAGCATTGCACGTTCCACCTGTACCCTATCATGACGCTCCTGAGGTGTTTCTCCCAATCATCACCTCGGTCAGTCATGTGGGCAGTCAACTTCGCAATTAATGTCTGATTGTATCTCTCAGTGAGCCCTGAGGACAAGTGAAATGAATTATATCGACTATCAAAAACTGCCTTGCAATCCTTACAGCTACGAGTAAATGCCATGTATTAATGACAACCATTACCGTTAGTCTGTGGATGATAGGCCGAGGTCATACACTTCTTTATCCCAAGAAGCTCTCTGATGGCATCATTCAACTGGTTGTTGAATTCCCTGCCTTGGTCGTGTAGGAGATTTTCCATGACCCAGTGTCTCCCAATCATCACCTCGGTCAGTCATGTGGGCAGTCAACTTCGCAATTAATGTCTGATTGTATCTCTCAGTGAGCCCTGAGGACAAATGAAATGAATTATATCGACTATCAAAAACTGCCTTTCAATCCTTACAGCTACGAGTAACTGCCATGCATTAATGACAATCCTTACCGTTAGTCTGTGGATGATAGGCCGAGGTCATACACTTCTTTATCCCAAGAAGCTCTCTGATGGCATCATTCAACTGGTTGTTGAATTCCCTGCCTTGGTCGTGTAGGAGATTTTCCATGACCCCAAAGCGAGAAATGACGTCCATCAGGCACTCCGCTACAGAAACAGCTGTCTTGTCAGGAATCGGGTAAGCTTCGGCCCATCTGATGGAAGACGAAGATGGAAGAGTGTTTCAGGCACACTATACCCATATAACATTGAAAAATACCTAAATATATATGTATATTTTATACATGTATGTATCAATAATAACTTTTATTACGATACTAACCTCGTCAAGTACTCCGTAAAAACACAGAGGTAAGAATTTCCCTGCTTTGACGCGTTGAGTGGGCCAACCAGATCAACGCCCCAACGGTGGAAGAGGCGAGAGGAAATCTTTACTGGATGTAACTTGGCAGGTGCTGGATTGTTCATGGGATTCGCCTTTTGGCAAACAATGCAGGACGAACAAAACCTGTGAAGAAAAAATAGCGGTAAGGTTGAATGAGTACAAATAGAGAAAATAATTTTTTTGCCAGCGTCATATAAAAAAAAATATTAAATAAACATGAGACAAACCTCTTCACGTCGGAAGTCATGTTCTTCCACCAATACTTCTCAAGCTTGCGAAGAGTCGCGTTCATTCCGAAGTGCCCACCACCAATTCCACGATGATAGAGATCCAATACGCGATTCCTTTCTTCTTCCCCGACGATCACCTTCTTCGGTTGAGCACACTTCTTTGATTGGTGATAGAGTTCGCCATTGATCAGTTGGAATGGCTCGGCAAACTTCCGATAGTCCCGCTTCTGGACGTCAGGCGGGTAGTTCCGTTCTCGCTCCCCAGCGGACTTCAAGAAACTAAGTAGGGCCTGGGATACTGCAGGATCCATGATCAGTCACGAAATGATACAGCTTCTCCTTCAGGCATGTCTTTTATACACCATTGAAAAAAATTTACTCCTCCCATGAGAGCACAAAACGTCAGTTATCATTATCATAGAAATATTTTCAAGACAGGACTTATCGTAACTTATTGTGCGAACTTATCAGTTACCATCATCATAAAATCTTTTGAAGACACAGTTTCTTGTCAAATGTCAACTTCTCATTCATCCCAATCAAATAAATCTTTTGAAGACAAAGCTTATTCTCAAATGTCAAGACAGAGCTTAATGTCAATTGTCAACTTGTCAGTTAGACACAGCTTCTTGTCAAATGTCAACTGTCAACTTCTCATTCATCCCAATCAAATAAATCTTTTGAAGACAAAGCTTATTCTCAAATGTCAAAACAGAGCTTAATGTCAATTGTCAACTTGTCAGTTACAGTTCTCGCCCGCTCAACACCGCCCACTTTTCAGGCCTGGCAGGGGGGGGAGATTTCTCACAAAGGGGGGAAAAACCTCATATGAGGTTTGTCCTCAGGGGAAAAATATCATATTATGTTCTTCCCCATGGGGAAGAAAATCCTATGATATTTTTCCCCATGGGGAAAAAAAAGGAAGGGAAAAAATATCACGCGACACCGGACGTATGCAAAGAAGGAACAGGTATAAAAGTGTGCAAGAAACACCGGAGATATCAGTAGCAGCCAGTATTGGTCGCAGTAAGGAAACTTCCAGAGTTTCAAGGAGGTTTGATTTCGGATGCCATATCAATAATTTGTTGTTGCGTGCTACAGCAAACCGTTAGAACCTTCCGAGGTCAACACTAGCCGATGTTGTGAAAAGAAGGAAGACCGAGATAGATGCAACAGTTAACTTCCTTAGCGTTTACCCCGAGATCGTCTCTGGGTTGTTATTCTTTCATGCACTTCTCGGCGGTAAGCTCGATATTTTCATATATATAAACAAAGGCGAGATCTCGTAATCCTAAGGAATGCAGGGTGTCCATAAAGTGACTACCTATGCGCGATTTTTTTTTTATTATAGACCCTGAAGTATCCTTTTTTTTACTTTTGCAGACTGACACTGTTTCACCTTTCCTCCTTCCACTTTGCCACGGGCGAGAATTTATTTCAAAGGTATGGTGTTTTAACCCTTTAGCGGTTGAGAACCACTGCATTAGTGTAGAAACAAAAGGTGTAGCACCATTCCGAGGTCTAATGATAAACAGCCTACAAAAAAAAGTTAGTTCCCTCAGATCCAGTATTAAAAAAAGTTCCCAGATGTAGTCACTTTATGGACACCCTGTAGTATATATATATATTAAATCAACAAACAGACTGCAGTCTGTATTGATTGCGTCGTTTGAAAAAAAAGATGGTTGCGGAAATGAGATCAGGAAAAAGACAAGATTCTGTTGTATGGAGTGTGAATTAGGATTGTGTGTGGTGCCTTGCCTCGACGCTTATCACACCAAACACATGTAGTTGTTAATCCATGTACATCAGTTAGGTTATTTTGCGTATTTTCAAAATTTATTCAGACATCTTCAGCATGTATGATTGTGTGCGCTATATTACCCTAAGAATTGCAATACAAAACAAAAATTCCAATTGTTGAATATAAGCATTGTGTTGTTCATTGCTTTCAAATGTGTTCTATGTTCACGACATGTGTAGGTAGTATACTAGGTATATAATAGTATCTCCTACTATAGTTTACTATTATTTTATTAGGACACGTGTGTGCGTGAAATTCGACCTTTCAGTAAAAAAACCAACTGGGAAAGAAAAAACTGCCGCGTAAAGGATAAGGCAATAAAAGAGCGCCAAGGAGGTTAAGAAACGATCCGGTAGGCCAAGAAAATTGGCGGATAGGGATCGGCGAACCCTGAAGAGGGTGGTTACATCATATCCCGAAGCCGTCCCTACAAAACGTGAGGTCGGAGCTCTAGATGTCAACAGGGTTGTGAGTGCGTGCACTGTCCGTAGTGAGTTGCACGGCCTTGGTTTTCATGATAAGCTGCCGCTCACAAGCATCACATAACACCAACGAACGCCAAACGTCGTTTGGAGTGGTACGTTGGCCATCGTTCTTGGACTCTGGAACGCACCATAAAATCCTGATATGTCTAGTGTTTCCTGCACGCTTTTATACTTGTTTCTTCTTTGCGTCCGAATACTTTTGAGAGTATAGTGCATATAATGATATATAACAAAAGAATTCAAGAATGTCAGAATAATCAATCGCCGAAGGCAATATTAAGAAGTGAGTAGTACAGTCTTCCCACTCTCTTCCCTGCCGGCTTTGGGACAGGTTGAGTCCATTATTCTTCTCTTCGGCGGCGGGCCTCTGTCGTTCCCTGTATATTTTTAACGTTTATCCTTTGCATCTGTCGATTCTGGGTCAAATTCCGCCGTTCTCTCATTGTAAATTCGGGTTGAACTAATGTTTCTGATGGAAATTACAGGGATTTAAAATAATACGTTTTAAAGGATTACCTAATGGTAAAGGGAGGATTTTCTGGCAAGGATCACAACAACCGATTACCCCTGAATTCCTTACAATTTTTTCATGGTAAACGAACAGTTATAAAGAAACCACCCAACCCTGTCTCGTCACAAATTTGGGAGCAAAATTCGGGTGCAATTGATACTTGGAAAATGCTGATGCGCTTTAAATTTGCTTCTTCCTTGCTCTTCAGACTGCAGGGCATATCAATTGGGACGTTTTTGTGGCATATGCAAAGATCGATGAAAGCGAATAAAACGAGGCTCCTGGCTTACACATCACTCGAAGCAACATGACCAAGATCTCAGTGCAGCAATGTGTAACACATTGGGTGGTATAATCCTAATAGGAAAGCTATAACCGCGATATTTGCAATAGGCTTGTCCTGAATGGTGTAATAAGACGGATGTTTGCCACACTCGCATAGCTCGTAACCCGTGACCCAATGGAATCATGCACTGGTTCAAATATGATGTCGCCCTATCGTTATAATGATTGAAGTTATGGGGTTTCGACCTAAGATGCGAGATTTGATGAAAAAAAGAACTTCAGAAATCCCATGATCGCATGCTCGTAACGCCATTCCGTTAAACCGTCATTCCATTATATGGAAACAATTGAGTGTTCGATGTAGGGAAATTCTGCTCGGATAAAGCTCAGAATGCATGAGAAAATATCAATCCATGGCGATAACATCCTATGTATATCCAAAGGATGACCGCTTCTGGACTTATATCCATCTCTGGACCGTCCATGGACGAGTTTTCGATCATCTAGGGCTACTTAGGGATGGATGCGGATGTGATTGGACTGCTAGCATTCTCAGGCGCACCCCAAAGGGATTGCAAGTATTTCATGCCTGACTCCAGAGAGGACATATGCTCTGTATATATTTCCTTTGTTGATGTTGATGGTCTATACATGGGAATCGTTTCGAAAGTGATTAATGGTCTAGGGATCCTGTTTCATTTAGCATCTCAAAGAAAAACCGAGCGCCTCCCTGAGTTTCATGAGGGATTCTTAGAATTTTCCCTATATACAGGGTGGGCAATACATACCTGGCACATTTCAAAGTAATGTTAAATTAGCATTAGGCCAGGAAATGGAATCATTATTATAGCATATTAATCTCTCTCCCTGGGAGAGAGATTTTATAGAGGGAGTTTTACACATAATATCCATATCTGGATTTAGCCTCGTTAAAGTCCTGAAAACAGTGGCACGTAAATGTCCACTGTTTCCCTGTATGCACTGACGCGTATGGACCATTGTGTTTCGCATCACTTTTCGGCAAGCGTCGATTGGAATATTGGCCATTGCCAATTCAATGGCCAATGGTGGGCTGTATTTTTTCTGATGCAATAGGTATGACTGTGACAGTGACGTCTGAGAGATACCAAGTAATGATAAACAACTGCATTGCTCCTAAACTCACAGAAATGGAATATGATGACCAAACCTGGTTCCAGCAAGAAGGGGCAATGGCCCACACTGCCCTTGCATCGATGGCATTGCTGAGACATTAGTTTCCAAATATTTCATTCCACGGTTTGGAGACGTTCATGGCCAGCCAGAAGCCTGGACGTAAGAGCCTCTGACTTCTTCCTATGGGGGTTCCTGGGATCAAAACTCTACGACAGGCCAAGGACCCTTCAAGATTTATGTAGAAACTTCGAACTGGCAATAGCCAATATTCAAATCAACACTTGGCGAAAAGTGATGCGAAACACAATGGTCCATGTGCGTAAATGCATACATGAAAATAGTGGACATTTACGTGCCACTGTTTTCCAGACCTAAAAGAGGCTAAAACCAGACATGGTTGTGATGTGTAAAACTCCTGAGATTGTAGCTTAATATGCCAAACATATAAGTTTATTTCCTGTCGTAATGCCCATCCAACATTACTTTGAAATGTGTCAGGTATTTTTTTGACACCCTATATGTAGGGTAGGGTGGGAAAAAAAGTTTAATTAAAGTCAGAACATTATATTTGCATAATTTTTTCTGGGGAGTTTTTCCTGAATACATAGATGTCATATGGGAGCTTATTGTTGCGAATTTATCTCCAGCTATTCTCCCTTCTTATCTTTTATTTATAGTAATTGATCACATGCTCAATCCACCTTCCTCGCTACAGAATCACAGTTGACGTACGACCAATAAAATGTTGCCCTGTCCTGTTTCTCATGTCTTTTCGGATTCGTCCGATTTTCTCTTTTGACGTCATTGTCAAAGTTTTTGGCTCTTGGCTTCTAGCGGGACACGTTTGCGGGAACGGCTAATCAAAAACCTCAGGCAGGTGACATCGATATATTGGTACGAGGATCAATATAAATGTTTCCAGGTGCGGCCTTCTCATGCCTCCTCTCAGGCTTACAGTTTTTCTCCAATCGGTATGAACCTCTGCAAAAACTTTCAGAATTTATTGTTACCTTGAACCGTTGGCACGTGAACATTTCCGAGGGATGATTTTCTATTACTTCAAAAGTGGAATCGGCCCAGAGGAGAGTCTGAACACCCGCAAAAAGCCTTTGAAGAGGAAGCAACATCTCGTAATAAATACAATCTTTGAGTGGTTCGCAGAGTTTCGAAGGGGAAGGGTGCCCTTGAAGGATGAGCCTCGCTGTAGCCGGCAGTCAACTGCAATAACAGATGAAAAAGTA